AGCAATGTCTAGCGGCGCTGAAGAACTCGGATTTGAATCCCGCACGAATCAAGTATTATATGGTCAACAAATTATTATTCCGGGTCTTGATGTTTATGTTTGTGAAATTCATGTATAAACTGCCTTTACGAGACAGTAGAAAATCCAACTATAAAACGATTTTTTAAGAAATTATTAATAAATTAGACTTCATCGGTTCGTCAACGCTTACAGCTGGACATAGGTTTCCCCTGTTGTGGGGAGGAGTTTGCTTATGCCCGATTATTCAAGAAACAATTCGTTCTCCGCAACGATCCGTTTAATTACATATGAGGCGCGTATAAGACAGGTTGTATTACAAACTATTTATTCAGCAACTAAGGATGACTTAAAATGAGTAAAGTTATACTCATAAACAGTTGAACTGGTATTTTGTTTTCAACAAATAGTTTTCATGCAGTTCATTTACTGCAAAAAGACTCGTATAAAACGAATCGTTTTTAAATATAGAAACCGGGCATTATTTGTCGCTATCGACAGCCGATAGCCGATCCTGGTATTTAACGTCGTACGTAACGTGACGATTAAGAAAAATCCTCCCTTCCCTACAATGGTAGAGGTTCATGTTCAGCAGTGGACTAACGAACCAATAATGATTATTCTTGAATATTCTTGACTTGACATTGCAGAGCTATGCTGCAGCCATATTAGTTGTATTACGAATGGGTCGGCTTGACTGGGTAAGCACTACGCTGTCACAGAACACCAGCGTCCAATAGCAACTTAATGCTGCTATGTTTCGTATGGTGAGTGAAGAGGACTGGGGACCTTTTTTTATAAAATCTAGACATTCCATCTTAGTCCTAAGCGCTGACAACGCATATGCATTTTGATTCTTAATCTAGAACAGATGTTGATATCTACGGGCCACACACATCCCACTTACCATCAGATGGATTTAGTATATAGTTTTGTATGTTCATTTGCAACCTGCAATAAAAAGGAAAAAATTGAAAATATTCCTAATAACAGACATTTAAAAAAAATTAAAGGTTTGTATTTGTTATTAAGTTGAAATATGGCAACTCTAATTTATCAGATATATTCAACAAGTCAAGAGCAGCATCTTCCTGATATTCCTACTTTTTATGGCGTATCAGAATTATACATTATATAATATACAATATATTACCTATATTATTTCATCAAGATATTTGATTACAAATTGTTTATTAACAGGCAAAAGTAGCTCGCCTACAATATAATAATAATAATAATAACGAACGCGCAGTACGCCTCTCGAAAATCGACCGCGACTTCCCCGCATAGCCCTAAGCAAGCGGAATCGGGCTGTCGTGAGGGCTCTGAACCCAATGCTGGTTACCTATTTGGAAGCCAGACGGGACCTTTGCGATACGGACTCAATTCTTTTTGGCGCCGCGCTGGCAGTCTGCCGTATCATAGGCGCCAAGGTTTCCACGGCTGGACGCGCTACTGGCCATAGTAGCGCTATCCCAGCATGGAGAAGAAGAATTGAGGAACGTATCGCAAAGGCTAGAGCTCTCATCGGCAGACCGATATGCTTCAGATCAGGCAACAACAGGCCAAGAATTGTGCGCACCGTCAGGATGGCGTTTGCTGGGACAAATGTCAGTTTGTCCCAGCCGGATATAACGCAAAAACTGACGGAGCGCATAGATGATCTGAAGCAAAGAATAGCTGCTTGGGGAAAGCGGATTCGGCGATATACCGAGAGGTCGACACGGTTCAACCAGAATCGTCTCTTCCAGAGTGATCAGAAGAGGCTCTATGAATCATTGGAGCGACCTATGGTAAGTGGAACGGGTCCAGCACCGAATCAGGCCGACACTGTAGCATTCTGGCGCGGCCTGTGGTCAGAGCCCGTAAACCACAGCGGGGGCCTTTGGACGGAAGTTGTGGCGAGTCAGTGTGCGGGTATTACGCCCATGGACCCCGTCATCATAACGCCGGATGACGTAGCTGAGGCGGTCCGTAGGGCGCCGAACTGGAAAAGTCCGGGGCTTGACGGGCTGCATCACTACTGGCTGAAGGGGTTCATGGTGTGTCACTCTGTGCTCGCCCGACAGTTTCAAGAGGCTCTCAACCAGAAGTCGCTCCCAAGCCTCTTCACTACTGGGATCACTCATTTGGTTCCTAAAGACCAGGGTACCACAGACCCGAGCAAATACCGCCCCATCACGTGTCTACCGACCATATACAAGACACTAACATCCATTTTGAGCGCGAGAATCACTTGTCACCTGGACTCCAATCAGGTGATGTCGCGCGCTCAAAATGGATGTCGGGGCGGTGGTCGTGGAACCAAGGAACCACTCCTCATTGACGCGGTCATTGGCAAAGTGGTGAAACGCAACCGTCGGAACTTCTCCGCCGCCTGGATAGACTACAGAAAGGCATTCGACTCGGTGCCCCATACATGGCTAGAGAGTCCTCGAGCTGTACAAGATAGACTGTACAGTTAGAGACTTCCTCGGGCAGTGTATGGGACAGTGGAGTACAATCCTTTGTCATCTGGGCGAGCGGATGATGGCTGCGGAGAACCACATAAGGATAAGAAGGGGTATCTTTCAGGGCGATTGTCTGAGTCCAATCTGGTTCTGCCTCTCTCTGAACCCTCTCAGTACCTTACTGGAGGGCTCCGGGAGGGGATTTCAGCTACGGAAAGGAGGGACAAAAGTGACCCACCTTTTCTATATGGATGACCTCAAGTTATTCGCCTCCAGTCGCTCCCATCTTATGGAATTGCTAAACATCACTTGTGAATTTAGCAATTCCATTGGAATGGAGCTGGGGACGGATAAGTGTGCTGTCCTCCATGTTGAAAGGGGAAGGGTTGCTAACTCTGAGGGCGTAGACTTATCTATGCCCGTCAACTTAAGGACCCTTTCCGAGGCTGAAACATACCACACAAAACATCGGTATCGATGAGACTGGTATGAAACAGTCAGTTTGCGACGTGTTTTATGCACGCTTGACCAAAGTGCTTAACAGCCTTTTGTCCGGTGTGAATAAGGCACACGCATATAACGGCTGGGTCATGCCTGTCCTCATGTATACCTTTGGCATACTCAGGTGGACTCAGACTGAACTTAACGCCCTGGATAGAAAAGTCCGCACTACAATGACGTCCCATAGGATGCATCATCCGAGATCGTCGGTAAAGAGGCTGTACTTGCCGCGGAAGCATGGTGGTCGTGGCTTCCTGAGCGCGGTCACCATGCATAATCGCGAAGTGTGCAGCCTCCGTCATTGCTTCCTGGCAAGATCGGATGATCCATTCTATAAGGACGTCATTTCTTGTGTTAAAGGACTTACCCCTCTATCCTTAGCCAACGAGCAATGGCAAGACCCGGCAGTGCAGAGCATTTCCGACCGGGAGACCGTATGGAAGGAGAAGGAGCTCCACGGGAGGTTCTACAAGGCTCTACATGAACCTTTCGTAGACACAGTAGCCTCCCTCCACTGGCTACGCTTTGGTGATCTCTTCGGGGGAAACCGAGGGTTTTGTCTGTGCAATACAGGATCAGGTTATTAAGACCAACAACTATCGGAGATACATCCTAAAGGATGGCACCGTCGACATCTGTCGAGCTTGTCGCCATCCCGGTGAGTCACTTAGGCATGTTATCTCCGGTTGTTCGGCGCTTTCTAACTCTGAGTACTTGCACAGGCACAACCTAGTAGCCAGAATTCTACACCAGGAGCTCGCTCTGAAATACGGTCTCGTGGATCGGAAATTGCCGTATTACAAGTACTTGCCGGAAGCCGTGCTCGAAAATGATCGCGCCAGGCTCTATTGGGACCGGGCCATCATCACAGACAGGACTATTCTTGCAAATAAGCCTGATGTTGTGCTGATGGACCGGGCACAGTCAAGGATATTTTTGGTCGACATTACCATTCCGTATGACGAGAACCTCGTGAAAGCCGAAACAGACAAGAAAACAAAATATCTGGACCTGGCTCACGAGGTGACCGACATGTGGGGTGGTCTGCCGACCGAAATTATTCCTGTAGTCGTCTCTGCAAACGGGCTAATCCCAGTCAGCCTCTCGGGTCATCTGAGGCGGCTGGGACTACGTGGCGGACCGCTCCAGGTTCAAATGCAGAAGGCGATGCTCCTCGATACCGCCCGCATCGTCCGCCGGTTTCTTTCCCTTTCCCCCTAACCCTCGGCCGTTTGGTCTCCCCTGCCGAGGGCCTCCATCTGGTTGGGATTTTACTTATTTATGTACTTTTATATTTATTTTATGTTATTGATATTTATGTATATTTATCTTTTCATTTTCATTTATAATTATATATTTATAGAACCCAACCAGATGAGAAAACTATATAGATACCCCACAATAATAATAATAATAATAAAAATAATAATAAAATGGCGTAGGGAAGTGACGACCCCATCGCCCGTTGACGTGACGGTTATGTGACAAAACCGCTACGTCCGCGCAGTCAGTCAGCACCTTGCCAAGAGGTGTGAGCGCCGTGCCTCGGCAAAATTTGATGGTGCAAGGGCCCGCTTGTGCATATGGCCTCACCATGAAACGGCGCCGGGTCTGGGCGTCTCCCGTTAAATGACGCCCTGTATGGATGATGGAACATAGAAGATTGCGCAAAGGGCCGCTGCCTGGAGGTCGCCAGGGCGCGTCTGGAGCTGGCGCTGGACGCGACAGCATGCGAACCGCCAGCCGAGCGCGAGGTGCTGCACGACCACCCTGCAGCCCCTCGCATCCATCATCCCCACCAGCTGGCTTGGTGTCGGCAGGGTCTTCGCAGGCCCAGCAATCGGCACCCGCCACTGGTGGAGTACGCCGCATGCGTTGGACCATCAATATGAATTCAAACGCATTGCGGGCGTATTTTAGGGCGAAAGGGGGAGAAATTGGAGGTTTCGCGTATCGGGCTAGGATGCATCGTCTTTTTACTGAGCTGGAGCCATCTATTACATTCACCGAGCAAAATCTGGCAGACCGAGTTCGGTATATCTTGCGCTCAAATATATTTGATGGCGCCGAACTCGAACGGCTACGACGTGAGGCTGTTCCCTCATCAAATGAAAACGCTACGACTGAGGGTGCGGCGCCACAAGTTGCAGAACAACCCGCACACGTGGATGCCGCCGAGAATACCCCAGTGGTTGCTGATTCAAATGATGATGGAACATTCGCCCAGGAACTAGATATAGAGCAAATGAGGAGTACATTGGAAGAGGCGATTATGGAAACGCGCAGTACGCCTCTCGAAAATCGACCGCGACTTCCCCGCATAGCCCTAAGCAAGCGGAATCGGGCTGTCGTGAGGGCTCTGAACCCAATGCTGGTTACCTATTTGGAAGCCAGCCGGGACCTTTGCGAGACGGACTCAATTCTCTTTGGCGCCGCACTGGCAGTCTGCCGTATTATAGGCGCCAAACTTTCCACGGCTGGACGCGCTACTGGACAAAGTAGTGCTATCCCAGCCTGGAGAACAAGAATTGAAGAACGTATCGCAAAGGCTAGGGCCCTCATCGGCAGACTGATATGCTTCAGGTCAGGCAATACCAGGCCAAGGATTGTGCGCACCGTCAGGATGGCGTTTGCTGGGACAAATGTTAGTTTGTCCCAGCCGGATATAATGCAAAAACTGACGGAGCGCATAGACGACCTGAAGCAGAGAAAATCGCTGCTTGGGGAAAGCGAATTCGGCGATATACCGAGAGGTCGACACGGTTCAACCAGAATCGTCTCTTCCAGAGTGATCAGAAGAGGCTCTATAAATCATTGGAGCGACCAATGGTAAGTGGAACGGGCCCAGTACCGAATCAGGCCGACACGGTCGCATTCTGGCGCAGCCTGTGGTCAGAGCCCGTAAACCACAACGAGGGCCCTTGGACGGAAGTTGTGGCGAGTCAGTGTGCGGGTATTACGCCCATGGACCCCGTCACCATAACGCCGGATGACGTAGCTGAGGCGGTCCGTAGGGCCCCGAACTGGAAAAGTCCGGGACTCGACGGGCTGCATCACTACTGGCTGAAGGGGTTCGTGGTGTGTCACACTGTGCTCGCCCGACAGTTTCAAGAGGTTCTCAACCAGAAGTCGCTCCCGAGCCTCTTCACTACTGGGATCACCCATTTGGTTCCTAAAGGCCAGGGTACCACAGACCCGAGCAAATACCGCCCCATCACATGTCTACCGACCATATACAAGACACTAACATCCATTTTGAGCGCGAGAATCACTCGTCACCTGGACTCAAATCAGGTGATGTCGCGCGCTCAAAATGGATGTCGGGGCGGCGGTCGTGGAACCAAGGAACCACTCCTCATTGACGCGGTCATTGGCAAAGTGGTGAAACGCAACCGTCGGAACTTCTCCGCCGCCTGGATAGACTACAGAAAGGCATTCGACTCGGTGCCCCATACATGGCTAAAGAGAGTCCTCGAACTGTACAAGATAGACTGTACAGTTAGAGACTTCCTCGAGCAGTGTATGGGGCAGTGGAGTACGATCCTTTGTCATCTGGGCGAGCGGATGATGGCTGCGGAGAACCACATAAGGATAAGAAGGGGTATCTTCCAGGGCGATTGTCTGAGTCCAATATGGTTCTGCCTCTCTCTGAACCCTCTCAGTACCTTACTGGAGGGCTCCGGGAGGGGATTTCAGCTACGGAAAGGAGGGACAAAAGTGACCCACCTTTTCTATATGGATGACCTCAAGTTATTCGCCTCCAGTCGCTCCCATCTTATGGAATTGCTAAACATCACTTGTGAATTTAGCAATTCCATTGGAATGGAGCTGGGGACGGATAAGTGTGCGGTCCTCCATGTTGAAAGGGGTAGGGTTGCTAACTCTGAGGGCATAGACTTATCTATGCCCGTCAACTTAAGGACCCTTTCCGAGGCTGAAACATACCGATACCTGGGTATGTCACAGAACATCGGTATCGATGAGGCTGGTATGAAACAGTCAGTTTGCGACGTGTTTTATGCACGCTTGACCAAAGTGCTTAACAGCCTTTTGTCCGGTGTGAATAAGGCACAAGCATATAACGGCTGGGTCATGCCTGTCCTCATGTATACCTTTGGCATACTCAGGTGGACTCAGACTGAACTTAACGCCCTGGATAGAAAAGTCCGCACTACCATGACGTCCCACAGGATGCATCATCCGAGATCGTCGGTAATGAGGCTGTACTTGCCGCGAAAGCATGGTGGGCGTGGCTTCTTGAGCGCGCTCACCATGCATAATCGCGAAGTGTGCAGCCTCCGTAATTACTTCCTGGCGAGATCGGATGATCCATTCTATAAGGACGTCATTTCTTGTGATAAAGGACTTACCCCTCTATCCTTAGCCAACGAGCAATGGCAAGACCCGGCAGTGCAGACAATTTCCGACCGGGAGACCGTATGGAAGGAGAAGGAGCTCCACGGGAGGTTCTACAAGGCTCTACATGGGCCTTTCGTAGACACAGTAACCTCCCTCTACTGGCTACGCTTTGGTGATCTCTTCGGGGGAAACCGAGGTTTTTGTCTGTGCAATACAGGATCAGGTTATTAAGACCAACAACTATCGGAGATACATCCTAAAGGATGGCACCATCGACATCTGTCGAGCTTGTCGCCATCCCGGTGAGTCACTTAGGCATGTTATCTCCGGTTGTTCGGCGCTTTCTAACTCTGAGTACTTGCACAGGCACAACCTAGTAGCCAGAATTCTACACCAGGAGCTCGCTCTGAAATACGGTTTCGTGGATCGGAAGTTGCCGTATTACAAGTACTTGCCGGAAGCCGTGCTCGAAAATGATCGCGCCAGGCTCTATTGGGACCGGGCCATCATCACAGACAGGACTATTCTTGCGAATAAGCCTGATATTGTGCTGATGGACCGGGCACAGTCAAGGATATTTTTGGTCGACATTACCATTCCGTATGACGAGAACCTCGTGAAAGCCGAAACAGACAAGCAAACAAAATATCTGGACCTGGCTCACGAGGTGACCGACATGTGGGGTGGTCTGCCGACCGAAATTATTCCTGTAGTCGTCTCTGCAAACGGGCTAATCCCAGTCAGCCTCTCGGGTCATCTGAGGCGGCTGGGACTACGTGGCGGACCGCTCCAGGCTCAAATGCAGAAGGCGGTGCTCCTCGATACCGCCCGCATCGTCCGCCGGTTTCTTTCCCTTTCCCCCTAACCCTCGGCCGTTTGGTCTCCCCTGCCGAGGGCCTCCATCTGGTTGGGCTTTTACTTATTTATGTATTTTCATATTTATTTTATTTTATTGATATTTATGTATGTTTATCTTTTCATTTTCATTTATAATTATATATTTATACATCCCAACCAGATGAGAAAACTATATAGATACCCCACACATAACAATAACGCATATAACAGCTGGGTCATGCCTGTCCTCAGTAACCTTTGGCATACTCAGGTGGACTCAACGAACTTAACGCCCTGGATAGAAAAGCCCCACCTGACCCCCCGACCGCGAAAGCATGGTGGGCGTGGCTTCTTGAGCGCGCTCACCATGCATAATCGCGAAGTGTGCAGCCTCCGTAATTACTTCTTGGCGAACATATCCATTCTATAAGGACGTATTTCTAGTGATAAAGGATTTACCCCACTATCCTTAGCCAACGAGCAATGGCAAGACCCGGCAGTGCAGACAATTTCCGACCGGGAGACCGTATGGAAGGAGAAGGAGCTCCACGGGAGGTACTACAAGGCTCTACATGGGCCTTTCGTAGACACAGTAGCCTCTCTCCACTGGCTACGCTTTGGTGACCTCTTCGGGGAAACCGAGGGGTTTTGTCTGTGCAATACAGGATCAGGTTATTAAGACCAACAACTATCGGAGATACATCCTAAAGGATGGCACCGTCGACATCTGTCGAGCTTGTCGCCATCCCGGTGAGTCACTTAGGCATGTAATCTCCGGTTGTTCGGCGCTTTCTAACTCTGAGTACTTGCACAGGCACAACCTAGTAGCCAGAATTCTACACCAGGAGCTCGCTCTGAAATACGGTCTCGTGGATCGGAAATTGCCGTATTACAAGTACTTGCCGGAAGCCGTGCTCGAAAATGATCGCGCCAGGCTCTACTGGGACCGGGCCATCATCACAGACAGGACTATTCTTGCGAATAAGCCTGATATTGTGCTGATGGACCGGGCACAGTCAAGGATATTTTTGGTCGACATTACCATTCCGTATGACGAGAACCTCGTGAAAGCCGAAACAGACAAGCAAACAAAATATCTGGACCTGGCTCACGAGGTGATCGACATGTGGGGTGGTCTGCCGACCGAAATTATTCCTGTAGTCGTCTCTGCGAACAGGCTAATCCCAGTTAGCCTCTCGGGTCATCTGAGGCGACTGGGACTCCGTGACGGACCGCTCCGGGCTCAAATGCAGAAGGCGGTGCTCCTCGATACCGCCCGCATCGTCCGCCGGTTTCTTTCCCTTTCCCCCTAACCCTCGGCCGTTTGGTCTCCCCTACCGAGGGCCTCCATCTGGTTGGGCTTTTATTTATTTATGTATTTTTATATTTATTTTATGTTATTGATATATATGTATATTTATCTTTTCATTTTCATTTATAATTATATATTTATACATCCCAACCAGATGAGAAAACTATATAGATACCCCAAAATAATAATAACAATATATTAATATATGGCGTAGGGAAGTGACGACCCCATCGCCCGTTGACGTGACGGTTATGTGACAAAACCGCTACGTCCGCGCAGTCAGTCAGCACCTTGCCAAGAGGTGTGAGCGCCGTGCCTCGGCAAAAATTGATGGTGCAAGGGCCCGCTTGTGCATATGGCCTCACCATGAAACGGCGCCGGGTCTGGGCGTCTCCCGTTAAATGACGCCCTGTATGGATGATGGAACATAGAAGATTGCGCAAAGGGCCGCTGCCTGGAGGTCGTCAGGGCGCGTCTGGAGCTGGCGCTGGACGCGACAGCATGCGAACCGCCAGCCGAGCGCGAGGTGCTGCACGACCACCCAGCAGCCCCTCGCATCCATCATCCCCACCAGCTTGCTTGGTGTCGGCAGGGTCTTCGCAGGCCCAGCAATCGGCACCCGCCACTGGTGGAGTACGCCGCATGCGATGGACCATCAATATGAATTCAAACGCATTGCGGGCGTATTTTAGGGCGAAAGGGGGAGAAATTGGAGGTTTCGCGTATCGGGCTAGGATGCATCGTCTTTTTACTGAGCTGGAGCCATCTATTACTGTCACCGAGCAAAACCTGGCAGACCGAGTTCGGTATATCTTACGCTCAAATATATTTGATGGCGCCGAACTCGAACGGCTACGACGTGAGGCTGTTCCCTCATCAAATGAAAACGCTACGACTGAGGGTGCGGTGCCACAAGTTGCAGAACAACCCGCACACGTGGATACCGCCGAGAATACCCCAGTGGTTGCTGATTCAAATGATGATGGAACATTCACCCAGGAACTAGAAATAGAGCAAATGAGGAGTACATTGGAAGAGGCGATTATGGAAACGCGCAGTACGCCTCTCGAAAATCGACCGCGACTTCCCCGCATAGCCCTAAGCAAGCGGAATCGGGCTGTCGTGAGGGCTCTGAACCCAATGCTGGTGACCTATTTGGAAGCCAGCCGGGACCTTTGCGAGACGGACTCAATTCTCTTTGGCGCCGCACTGGCAGTCTGCCGTATTATAGGCGCCAAACTTTCCACGGCTGGACGCACTACTGGACAAAGTAGTGCTATCCCAGCCTGGAGAACAAGAATTGAAGAACGTATCGCAAAGGCTAGGGCCCTCATCGGCAGACTGATATGCTTCAGGTCAGGCAATACCAGGCCAAGGATTGTGCGCACCGTCAGGATGGCGTTTGCTGGGACAAATGTTAGTTTGTCCCAGCCGGATATAATGCAAAAACTGACGGAGCGCATAGACGACCTGAAGCAGAGAATCGCTGCTTGGGGAAAGCGAATTCGGCGATATACCGAGAGGTCGACACGGTTCAACCAGAATCGTCTCTTCCAGAGTGATCAGAAGAGGCTCTATAAATCATTGGAGCGACCAATGGTAAGTGGAACGGGCCCAGTACCGAATCAGGCCGACACGGTCGCATTCTGGCGCAGCCTGTGGTCAGAGCCCGTAAACCACAACGAGGGCCCTTGGACGGAAGTTGTGGCGAGTCAGTGTGCGGGTATTACGCCCATGGACCCCGTCACCATAACGCCGGATGACGTAGCTGAGGCGGTCCGTAGGGCCCCGAACTGGAAAAGTCCGGGACTCGACGGGCTGCATCACTACTGGCTGAAGGGGTTCGTGGTGTGTCACACTGTGCTCGCCCGACAGTTTCAAGAGGTTCTCAACCAGAAGTCGCTCCCGAGCCTCTTCACTACTGGGATCACCCATTTGGTTCCTAAAGGCCAGAGTACCACAGACCCGAGCAAATACCGCCCCATCACATGTCTACCGACCATATATAAGACACTAACATCCATTTTGAGCGCGAGAATCACTCGTCACCTGGACTCAAATCAGGTGATGTCGCGCGCTCAAAATGGATGTCGGGGCGGCGGTCGTGGAACCAAGGAACCACTCCTCATTGACGCGGTCATTGGCAAAGTGGTGAAACGCAACCGTCGGAACTTCTCCGCCGCCTGGATAGACTACAGAAAGGCATTCGACTCGGTGCCCCATACATGGCTAAAGAGAGTCCTCGAACTGTACAAGATAGACTGTACAGTTAGAGACTTCCTCGAGCAGTGTATGGGGCAGTGGAGTACGATCCTTTGTCATCTGGGCGAGCGGATGATGGCTGCGGAGAACCACATAAGGATAAGAAGGGGTATCTTCCAGGGCGATTGTCTGAGTCCAATATGGTTCTGCCTCTCTCTGAACCCTCTCAGTACCTTACTGGAGGGCTCCGGGAGGGGATTTCAGCTACGGAAAGGAGGGACAAAAGTGACCCACCTTTTCTATATGGATGACCTCAAGTTATTCGCCTCCAGTCGCTCCCATCTTATGGAACTGCTAAACATCACTTGTGAATTTAGCAATTCCATTGGAATGGAGCTGGGGACGGATAAGTGTGCGGTCCTCCATGTTGAGAGGGGTAGGGTTGCTAACTCTGAGGGCATAGACTTATCTATGCCCGTCAACTTAAGGACCCTTTCCGAGGCTGAAACATACCGATACCTGGGTATGTCACAGAACATTGGTATCGATGAGGCTGGTATGAAACAGTCAGTTTGCGACGTGTTTTATGCACGCCTGACCAAAGTGCTTAACAGCCTTTTGTCCGGTGTGAATAAGACACAAGCATATAACGGCTGGGTCATGCCTGTCCTCATGTATACCTTTGGCATACTCAGGTGGACTCAGACTGAACTTAACGCCCTGGATAGAAAAGTCCGCACTACCATGACGTCCCACAGGATGCATCATCCGAGATCGTCGGTAATGAGGCTGTACTTGCCGCGAAAGCATGGTGGGCGTGGCTTCTTGAGCGCGCTCACCATGCATAATCGCGAAGTGTGCAGCCTCCGTAATTTGACTTCCTGGCGAGATCGGATGATCCATTCTATAAGGACGTCATTTCTTGTGATAAAGGACTTACCCCTCTATCCTTAGCCAACGAGCAATGGCAAGACCCGGCAGTGCAGACAATTTCCGACCGGGAGACCGTATGGAAGGAGAAGGAGCTCCACGGGAGGTTCTACAAGTCTCTACATGGGCCTTTCGTAGACACAGTAACCTCTCTCCACTGGCTACGCTTCGGTGACCTCTTCGGGGGAAACCGAGGTTTTTGTCTGTGCAATACAGGATCAGGTTATTAAGACCAACAACTATCGGAGATACATCCTAAAGGATGGCACCATCGACATCTGTCGAGCTTGTCGCCATCCCGGTGAGTCACTTAGGCATGTCATCTCCGGTTGTTCGGCGCTTTCTAACTCTGAGTACTTGCACAGGCACAACCTAGTAGCCAGAATTCTACACCAGGAGCTCGCTCTGAAATACGGTTTCGTGGATCGGAAGTTGCCGTATTACAAGTACTTGCCGGAAGCCGTGCTCGAAAATGATCGCGCCAGGCTCTATTGGGACCGGGCCATCATCACAGACAGGACTATTCTTGCGAATAAGCCTGATATTGTGCTGATGGACCGGGCACAGTCAAGGATATTTTTGGTCGACATTACCATTCCGTGTGACGAGAACCTCGTGAAAGCCGAAACAGATAAGCAAACAAAATATCTGGACCTGGCTCACGAGGTGACCGACATGTGGGGTGGTCTGCCGACCGAAATTATTCCTGTAGTCGTCTCTGCAAACGGGCTAATCCCAGTCAGCCTCTCGAGTCATCTGAGGCGGCTGGGACTACGTGACGGACCGCTCCAGGCTCAAATGCAGAAGGCGGTGCTCCTCGATACCGCCCGCATCGTCCGCCGGTTTCTTTCCCTTTCCCCCTAACCCTCGGCCGTTTGGTCTCCCCTGCCGAGGGCTTCCATCTGGTTGGGCTTTTATTTATTTATGTATTTTTCATATTTATTTTATTTTATTGATATTTTTGTATGTTTATCTTTTCATTTTCGTTTATAATTATATATTTATACATCCCAACCAGATGAGAAAACTATATAGATACCCCACACATAATAATAATAATAGTAGGGAAGTGACGACCCCATCGCCCGCTGACGTAACGGTTATGTGACAAAACCGCTACGTCAGCGCAGTCAGTCAGCACCTTGCCAAGAGGTGTTAGTGCCGTGGCTCGGCAAAAATTGAAGGTGCAAAGGCCCGCTTGTGCACATGGCCTCACCATGAAACGGCGCCGGGTCTGGGCGTCTCCCGCTAAATGACGCCCACCACTATGGATGATGGAATACGGAAGAACGCGCAAAGGGCCGCTGCCTGGAGGTCGCCAGGGCGCGTCTGGAGCTGGCGCTGGACGCGGCAGCATGCGAACCGCCAGCCGAGCGCGAGGTGCTGCACGACCACCCAGCAGCCCCTCGCATCCATCATCCCCACCAGCTGGCTTGGTGTCGGCAGGGTCTTCGCGGGCCCAGCAATCGGCACCCGCCTCTGGTGGAGTACGCCGCATGCGTTGGACAACCCAGATGAACAGCAACGCATTGCGGGCGTATTTTGGGGCGAAAGGGGGAGAAACTGGATGTTTGGCGTATCGGGCTAGGATGCATCGTCTTTTTGCTGAGCTGGAGCCATCTTTAACCGTCACAGAGCAAAACCTGGCAGACCGAGTTCGGTATATCTTGCGCTCAAATATATTTAATGTCGCCGAACTCGAACGGCTACGACGTGAGGCTGTTCCCTCGTCGGATGAGAATGCTACGGCTGAGGATGCGGCGCCACAAATGGTAGAGCAACCCGCAAACTTGGATGCCGCCGTGAATACCCCAGTTGTGGTTGATTCAAACGATGATGGAACAGTCGCCCAGGAACTGGAATTAGAGCATATGAGGAGTACATTGGAAGAGGCGATTGTGGAAACGCGCAGTACGCCTCTCGAAAATGGACCACGACTTCCCCGCATAGCCCTAAGCAAGCGGAATCGGGCTGTCGTGAGGGCTCTGAACCCAATGCTGGTGACCTATTTGGAAGCCAGCCGGGAACTTTGCAAAACGGACTCAATTCTTTTTGGCGCCGCGCTGGCAGTCTGCCGTATCATAGGCGCCAAGGTTTCCACGGCTGGACGCGCTACTGGCCATAGTAGCGCTATCCCAGCATGGAGAAGAAGAATTGAGGAACGTATCGCAAAGGCTAGAGCTCTCATCGGCAGACTGATATGCTTCAGATCAGGCAACAACAGGCCAAGAATTGTGCGCACCGTCAGGATGGCGTTTGCTGGGACAAATGTCAGTTTGTCCCAGCCGGATATAACGCAAAAACTGACGGAGCGCATAGATGATCTGAAGCAGAGAATCGCTGCTTGGGGAAAACGGATTCGGCGATATACCGAGAGGACGACACGGTTCAACCAGAATCGTCTCTTCCAGAGTGATCAGAAGAGGCTCTATGAATCATTGGAGCGACCAATGGTAAGTGGAACGGGTCCAGCACCGAATCAGGCCGACACTGTAGCATTCTGGCGCGGCCTGTGGTCAGAGCCCGTAAACCACAGCGAGGGCCCTTGGACGGAAGTTGTGGCGAGTCACTGTGCGGGTATTACGCCCATGGACCCCGTCATCATAACGCCGGATGACGTAGCTGAGGCGGTCCGTAGGGCCCCGAACTGGAAAAGTCCGGGGCTTGACGGGCTGCATCACTACTGGCTGAAGGGGTTCATGGTGTGTCACTCTGTGCTTGCCCGACAGTTTCAAGAGGCTCTCAACCAGAAGTCGCTCCCAAGCCTCTTCACTACTGAGATCACTCATTTGGTTCCTAAAGACCAGGGTACCACAGACCCGAGCAAATACCGCCCCATCACGTGTCTACCGACCATATACAAGACACTAACATCCATTTTGAGCGCGAGAATCACTTGTCACCTGGACTCAAATCAGGTGATGTCGCGCGCTCAAAATGGATGTCGGGGCGGTGGTCGTGGAACCAAGGAACCACTCCTCATTGACGCGGTCATTGGCAAAGTGGTGAAACGCAACCGTCGGAACTTCTCCGCCGCCTGGATAGACTACAGAAAGGCATTCGACTCGGTGCCCCATACATGGCTAAAGAGAGTCCTCGAGCTGTACAAGATAGACTGTACAGTGAGAGACTTCCTCGAGCAGTGTATGGGGCAGTGGAGTACGATCCTTTGTCATCTGGGCGAGCGGATGATGGCTGCGGAGAACCACATAAGGATAAGAAGGGGTATCTTCCAGGGCGACTGTCTGAGTCCAATCTGGTTCTGCCTCTCTCTGAACCCTCTCAGTACCTTACTGGAGGGCTCCGGGAGGGGATTTCAGCTACGGAGAGGAGGGACAAAAGTGACCCACCTTTTCTATATGGATGACCTCAAGTTATTCGCCTCCAGTCGCTCCCATCTTATGGAATTGCTAAACATCACTTGTGAATTTAGCAATTCCATTGGAATGGAGCTTGGGACGGATAAGTGTGCGGTCCTCCATGTTGAAAGGGGAAGGGTTGCTAACTCTGAGGGCGTAGACTTATCTGTGCCCGTCAACTTAAGGACCCTTTCCGAGGCTGAAACATACCGATACCTGGGTATGTCACAAAACATCGGTATCGATGAGACTGGTATGAAACAGTCAGTTTGCGACGTGTTTTATGCACGCTTGACCAAAGTGCTTAACAGCCTTTTGTCCGGTGTGAATAAGGCACACGCATATAACGGCTGGGTCATGCCTGTCCTCATGTATACCTTTGGCATACTCAGGTGGACTCAGACTGAACTTAACGCCCTGGATAGAAAAGTCCGCACTACCATGACGTCCCATAGGATGCATCATCCGAGATCGTCGGTAATGAGGTTGTACTTGTCGCGGAAGCATGGTGGTCGTGGCTTCTTGAGCGCGCTCACCATGCATAATCGCGAAGTGTGCAGCCTCCGTGATTACTTCCTGGCGAGATCGGATGATCCATTCTATATGGACGTCATTTCTTGTGATAAAGGACTTACCCCTCTATCCTTAGCCAACGAGCAATGGCAAGACCCGGCAGTGCAGAGCATTTCCGACCGAGAGACCGTATGGAAGGAGAAGGAGCTCCACGGGAGGTTCTACAAGGCTCTACATGAGCCTTTCGTAGACACAGTAGCCTCCCTCCACTGGCTACGCTTTGGTGATCTCTTCGGGGAAACCGAGGGTTTTGTCTGTGCAATACAGGATCAGGTTATTAAGACCAACAACTATCGGAGATACATCCTAAAGGATGGCACCGTCGACATCTGTCGAGCTTGTCGCCATCCCGGTGAGTCACTTAGGCATGTTATCTCCGGTTGTTCGGCGCTTTCTAACTCTGAGTACTTGCACAGGCACAACCTAGTAGCCAGAATTCTACACCAGGAGCTCGCTCTGAAATACGGTCTCGTGGACCGGAAATTGCCGTACTACAAGTACTTGCCGGAAGCCGTGCTCGAAAATGATCGCGCCAGGCTCTATTGGGACCGGGCCCTCATCACAGACAGGACTATTCTTGCGAATAAGCCTGATATTGTGCTGATGGACCGGGCACAGTCAAGGATATTTTTGGTCGACATTACCATTCCGTATGACGAGAACCTCGTGAAAGCCGAAACAGACAAGCAAACAAAATATCTGGACCTGGCTCACGAGGTCACCGACATGTGGGGTGGTCTGCCGACCGAAATTATTCCTGTAGTCGTCTCTGCAAACGGGCTAATCCCAGCCAGCCTCTCGGGTCATCTGAGGCGGCTGGGACTACGTGGCGGACCGCTCCAGGTTCAAATGCAGAAGGCGGTGCTCCTCGATACCGCCCGCATCGTCCGCCGGTTTCTTTCCCTTTCCCCCTAACCCTCGGCCGTTTGGTCTCCCCTGCCGAGGGCCTCCATCTGGTTGGGCTTTTATTTATTTATGTACTTTTATATTTATTTTATGTTATTGATATTTATGTATATTTATTTTTTCATTTTCATTTATAATTATATATTTATAGAACCCAACCAGATGAGAAAACTATATAGATACCCCATAAAAAATATAATAATAATACACAACATAATAATAAAAAGCACAACACAATAATAATAAAAAGGTGTGGGTAAGTGACGACCCCATCGCCCGCTGATATAACGGTTATGTGACAAAACCGCTACGTCGGCGCAGTCAGTCAGCACCTTGCCAAGAGGTGTTAGTGCCGTGCCTCGGCAAAAATTGAAGGTGCCAAGGCCCGCTTGTGCACATGGCCTAACCATGAAACGGCGCCGGGTCTGGGCGTCTCCCGCTAAATGACGCCCTAAAATGGATGATGGAATCAAATGGAACGCGCAAAGGGCCGCTGCCTGGAGGTCGCCAGGTCGCGTCTGGAGCTGGCGTTGGACACGACAGCATGCGAATCACCAGCCGAGCGCGAGATGCTGCACGACCACCCAGCAGCTCCTCGCATCCATCATCCCCACCAGCTGGCTTGGTGTCGGCAGGGTCTTCGCGGGCTCAGCAATCGGCACCCGCCACTGGTGGAGTACGCCGCATGCGTTGGACAACCCAGATGAACAGCAACGCATTGCGGGCGTATTTTGGGGCGAAAGGGGGAGAAACTGGAGGTTTTGCGTATCGGGCAAGGATGCATCGACTTTTTGCTGAGCTGGAGCCATCTGTAACCGTCACCGAGCAAAACCTGGCAGACCGAGTTCGGTATATCTTGCGCTCAAATATATTTGATGTCGCCGAACTCGAACGGCTACGACGTGAGGCTGTTCCCTCGTCGGATGAGAATGCTACGGCTGAGGATGCGGCGCCACAACTTGCCGCCGTGAATACGCCAGTTGTGGTTGATTCAAACGATGATGGAACAGTCGCCCAGGAACTGGAACTAGAGCAAATGAGGAGTACATTGGAAGAGGCGATTGTAGAAACGCGCAGTACGCCTCTCGAAAATGGACCGCGACTTCCCCGCATAGCCCTAAGCAAGCGGAATCGGGCTGTCGTGAGGGCTCTGAACCCAATGCTAGTTACCTATTTGGAAGCCAGACGGGACCTTTGCGATACGGACTCAATTCTTTTTGGCGCCGCACTGGCAGTCTGCCGTATTATAGGTACCAAACTTTCCACGGCTGGACGCGCTACTGGACAAAGTAGTGCTATCCCAGCCTGGAGAATAAGAATTGAAAAACGTATCGCAAAGGCTAGGGCCCTCATCGGCAGACTGATATGCTTCAGGTCAGGCAATACCAGGCCAAGGATTGTGCGCACCGTCAGGATGGCGTTTGCTGGGACAAATGTTAGTTTGTCCCAGCCAGATATAATGCAAAAACTGACGGAGCGCATAGATGATCTGAAGCAAAGAATAGCTGCTTGGGGAAAGCGGATTCGGCGATATACCGAGAGGTCGACACGGTTCAACCAACCAACCCTTTCCGAGGCTGAAACATACCGATACCTGGGTATGTCACAGAACATCGGTATCGATGAGGCTGGTATGAAACAGTCAGTTTGCGACGTGTTTTATGCACGCTTGACCAAAGTGCTTAACAGCCTTTTGTCCGGTGTGAATAAGGCACACGCATATAACGGTTGGGTCATGCCTGTCCTCATGTATACCTTTGGCATACTCAGGTGGACTCAGACTGAACTTAACGCCCTGGATAGAAAAGTCTGCACTACCATGACGTCCCATAGGATGCATCATCCGAGATCGTCGGTAATGAGGCTGTACTTGCCGCGGAAGCATGGTGGTCGTGGCTTCTTGAGCGCGCTCACCATGCATAATCGCGAAGTGTGCAGCCTCCGTGATTACTTCCTTGCGAGATCGGATGATCCATTCTATAAGGACGTCATTTCTTGTGATAAAGGACTTACCCCTCTATCCTTAGCCAACGAGCAATGGCAAGACCCGGCAGTGCAGAGCATTTCCGACCGGGAGACCCTATGGAAGGAGAAGGAGCTCCACGGGAGGTTCTACAAGGCTCTACATGAGCCTTTCGTAGACACAGTAGTCTCCCTCTACTGGCTACGCTTTGGTGGTCTCTTCGGGGAAACCGAGGGTTTTGTCTGTGCAATACAGGATCAGGTTATTAAGACCAACAACTATCGGAGATACATCCTAAAGGATGGCACCGTCGACATCTGTCGAGCTTGTCGCCATCCCGGTGAGTCACTTAGGCATGTTATCTCCGGTTGTTCGGCGCTTTCTAACTCTGAGTACTTGCACAGGCACAACCTAGTAGCCAGAATTCTACACCAGGAGCTCGCTCTGAAATACGGTCTCGTGGATCGGAAATTGCCGTATTACAAGTACTTGCCGGAAGCCGTGCTCGAAAATGATCGCGCCAGGCTCTATTGGGACCGGGCCATCATCACAGACAGGACTATTCTTGCGAATAAGCCTGATATTGTGCTGATGGACCGGGCACAGTCAAGGATATTTTTGGTCGACATTACCATTCCGTAGCAGTTTGGATGGTGGCGACACGCGACACGCCGTCTTTTCCGGGGAAAATATGGCTAACTCTGCCCATACGCCATTTAAGGGGTGGTAAATTGTCCTCCTTAATAACGACAAGCGTGTTTAATGCTATGTCTTGACTGTTCGCCTTCCACTTCGTTCTTGTCTGAAGTTCAACAACATACTCTTGTGACCAGCGTTTCCAGAAGTGCTGTTTTATTTGTTCCACTCTTTGAAACCGTTTCAAGCTGTGAGTCCGTGCTTCGGTGAGGTCTCTGCAGGCTGGTGCAGTGAGTGGCCGGCCGATGAGGAAATGAGCTGGGCTTAGTGGACGAAGATCATGTGGATCTGAGGACATAGGACTTATAGGACGGGAGTTTAGGACTGCTTCGATCTGTGCCAACACAGTGCTGAACTCCTCGTATGTCAAGTTAGCGGTACCCACGACACGCTTAAGGTGGAACTTACATGATTTTACTCCTGCTTCCCACAATCCCCCAAAATGAGGAGCATAAGGGGGGAATAAATTTAAATTCAATATTGTCAGTTGATAATCTATCAATTATTTGCTTTGAATTTCGCTCTAACATTTTGTTAATCTCTTTCATGGCTCCAAAGTTCTACCGTTATCTGAGAAAATTTGAGCTGGTTTACCTCGTCGTGAGATAAATCTTTTAAGTGCTAATATAAATTCTTGAGCAGCTAACGTACTGACAAGTTCTAGATGAATGGCCCGGATAACAAAACAAACGAATATGCAAATATAGCCCTTTTCCAATTTAGCTCCCCTTCCTTTGCGATTCAGTACGTTTATGGGACCCGCATAATCCACTCCACATCGAATGAATGGGAAACCAGGTTCTATTCGTTCAGACGGAAGGTTGCCCATGATTGGTGTTAGGGTTTTACCTTTCATTCGAGTGCAGCGAACACATTGGTGGACAACCTTTCTAGCTAGGTTTCTACCCCTAACGGCCACCAATTCTCACGCACGGTTGCCAATAGCAGCTGGGGACCAGCATGAAGAAGCTCTTTGTGTTGATGTTGAAATAACAATTGTGTGAAGTTGTGTTTACTTGATAAAAGTATCGGGTGTTTCTTGTCGTAATTAAAGTCAGGCGAGTTACTAAGACGGCCACCTACTCTAATTATATCCCTTTCATCTAGAAATATATTAAGCCTAGAAATCGAACCTGAAGTTTTTAAAGGTAAGTTATGTTTTAACTTATCATATTCCATCGGAAACGATTCGCGTTGAGCAAGACGCGCTAACGACTGTAATGAGTCATTCAATTCATCTACTGATAACGGCCCCTGTGTACGATCTTTCTTTGGTGTGCGTAAGTTATGTATGTATCGCAACAGGTAAGCGCCGGCGCGCACGATACGCTGATAAGAACGAAACCTTTCAAAATTAATAATTTTATTCTTTGTTACATCACAAACCATAACCGTTGTCGTTTGTGATTTTAGTTCTGGTAAGTCGGAGTGTGTAGTCGAAGATTGCTGTGACCATGCCGACTCAGAATTTTTTTAAGAACTCAGGTCCGCTCCACCACAGATTACTGTCAATGAGTACATCAAGACTAAGACCCCGCGAGACCAGATCCGCTGGGTTATTTTTGGTTCCTACATGTAACCATAACGCGTTACTTGTTATTTCATTAATCTCCACTATTCAATTTTGAACGAATGTTTTTAACGAATGTGGTGACATACATAGCCATCCAAGGACAATAGTTGAGTCTGTCCAAAAGTAAATTTTGTGGAAATTAACACGCAATGACTCGATAATTTTCCTATATAATCGTGCGCCTATTAAAGCCCCGCACAGTTCTAATCGGGGTATGCTGACTGGTTTAATTGGTGCAACTTTACTCTTTGCACACAATAATCTAACAGTCACCGATGAGTCATCAGAGTAGGTGCGAACATATGCGCATGCACCATACGCACTCTGCGACGCGTCCGTGAATACGTGTAATTCTATAAATTGTGTGTGTGCGCTCATAACATGACGCGGAATACGTAGGTTATGCAAATATTGAAGTGTGTCAATAAATTTTTCCCAGGATAAAGCAACATCACTGGGAACGGGATCATCCCAATTTATCTTGCACAACCACACTTTTTGCATCAATATTTTAGCTACTACGACAGCCGGTGTTAAAATTCCTAGAGGATCGTATATTTGTGCGATTATCGACAACATTGTACGTTTATTTAGTAAATTCGGTCTAACTACTCGTGTGGTAAAATGAAGTTCATCACTTTTATTATACAAACCCACTCCTAAAGTCTTAGTTTGGGAATGTTCTCCTAATGACAAGTCTTTAGATATGTCGTGGTCACTGATATCAACGTTAAACAACCACTTACGCAACGGTAAACAAACCGAGTTTAAAGTATTTCGTAACTTCTCACAGGTATCGAGTAAGCTATTTAAATCATTGTCACCTAGGATGACGTCATCAACGAAAAAAATCCTCTCGGATTACTCTCGCAACCTGCTGATCCTTACATTCCAGCGCAAGCTGACGTAAACATCTCATACTAAGGTATGGCGCAGACGCAGTGCCATACGTCACGGTGTTTAGGCGATATACACGTATTGGGTCCGACGGAAGTTTACGCCATAATATCAATTGTAAATCTCGTTGGTCTGATTGTACAAGAAAATTCCGAAACATTTTCTCAGCGTCCGCACAACCCACGTATTTATATTGCCTAAAGCGTAATAAAATGCTAAAAATGTCATTCTGAAGTGGTGGACCAATATGTTGAATATCGTTCAACGACTTACCGGACGACATCGCTGCGCTTGCATCGAAAACAGTGCGCAGTTATGTCGTACTGCTATTTTCGTTAATAACGCCGTGATGCGACAAAAAATAGTGGGGTGACTCATAAGTTTCAACGCAACTCATATGACCGAGCCTTTCATATTCCCCCATAAAATCTACGTATTTTTCCCGAAATTGTGGCGAACGAGCGAATTTTCGTTCTAACGACAACAAACCTTTTTCAGCCGTTGTGTAATTGTCTCCGAGCACATCAGCTGATTCCTTTAAAGGAATGCGTACGGAAAACCTACCATCTTCCATACGTTTTGTCGTTTTGACAAAAATGTCTTCGCACGCACGTTCGTCAGCACTAAGGATGTTTTTATTAACGTTATTGTTTATCTCTTCGAGTTCCCAAAATAATTTCAACTGTGTGTCAATTGTTTGGGAGAAATTATTTTGCACACTCTTAACGGGAAGTGGGTTATTACGTAAAGGTCCCGACATTATCCAACCCAATTTTGTATTTTGTAAATAAGGTCCTTTATTCAACTTAATTTTGCCATCACACAATAATTCCCAGAACTTATCCGCGCCTATCAGTATATCGATGTCTGACGGTGAGTGAAAGTTCGGATCCGCAAGTTGAATATTATCAGGTAAACTCATATTATTTACATCGACACTAAATGTGGGTAATTGATTTGTAATGCACGGCAACACTAAACAATCAATGTTCATACAAAACGAATTTAACCTTGAACGTAATTTTATTTTACAAATGTGGGTGGACTGCGAAATTATTTGACCTACCCCAGCAACGTGATAAGTGGACTGTATTAACGGTGCATTTAATGTTTCACATAACGATTTCTTTATGAAACAATGTTGACTACCATTATCTAGCAGAATGCGTACAGTTTGATATTTGTTATTATAATCTGCTATGTCCACTAACGCGGTGGACAGCAAAACGTTGGGTAATAACGAATATTCCTGATTACTGTTTTGCGATTCTGAATGGTTAGCCGTAACGTGTAATGATGACGAGACAGTGGAGACGTTAGCGGTGACCGGCTGTGCTGATGCACTCGACCCGCTCACCTGTGATGCGCCGTCTACCTGCCCATCAATGTGAAGCAAACTGTTGTGCCTTTTATCACACAACCTACATGGCCCAAACTTGCATTCGTCAAGTGGGTGGGTTGCGCGTAAACAATTGATGCACAGCTGATGCGTTTTAACTATCTTATTCCTTTCTTGGATAGACGAATTAAGAAACCTTGAACAGGAATAAATCGCGTGATTACCATGACACATCACACACACGCGGCTTTGTTTTAGTTTCGTATTACCCTTATTGTTATTGTTAGTAACGTTCGTAGCAACATGAGTATGTGTATATTGTTTCTTAGAGCGCGTTTGTTCGCCGCCTTTGTTCTCTTGGGATTTGTTATGGTTGACTTTTATCATTTCTAAAACGTCGGCGCGGTCCTTAAGAAATTTAAGTAAGTCATCCAGTTTCAAAGCTGACCTCGATTCAATTAACGAACTAGCTGTACCTTGAAAATCTTCCCATTCGCGTTCAATGGCCTGATCTAATTTGGAAACGACCATGTAAATGATTAAAGTGTCCCATGAATCTGTTGGTTCACCTAACGTTTTAAGGGCACGCAAATTTCTCAAAACAATATCTATTAAGTTCCTAATCTGGGAAGCGGACTCTTTATTTAACGATGGAATTTTAAATAATGCCTTCACATGATTATGAACCAATAGTCGCGGATTATTAAATCTATTCTCTAATAGCTCCCATGCGTGGGAATAGTTGTTAGCTGTAAATTCTAATGCACCTATGACGTGTGCCGCGGTACCGGACAATGACGATTTTAAATAATAAAATTTTTGAACAGGACCTAAATCATCGCGATCATGAATCATACTAACGTAAGAATTTTTAAACTCTAGCCAGCAATCGTATGAACCGTCAAAGGAAGGTATTTTAATATCGGGTAACTTTATGCCTATCAGCTTACATGTTGAAACACTAGACTTGTCAGCTACTTCCTTTCTCAATAAAAAGTTTTGCAGAAGCTACAGCACAATAAAATTGATTTTCGAAACGATCTCTCTCTTCCAGCTGTTTTACAAGATCGAGATCTTCCGCTACCTCTTCTTCAATTTTAGTCTGTATTTCACTATACATCTCTATCAAACTCGAAGAACTCTCGACACGTAAATTTAATTCTAATGACTGTTGTTCAGTCAAGGGTAAAGTGAACTTTTTAACATAATTTTCAAACAGAGTTAATCGACCTTTTAAAACTCCTCTTTTCTTAATTAAATCTGACAATTTGGGCTCACTCATTTTGGGATTTAAGGAAATCAAGAGTACTTACAGTTGCCAATTTGTATATGCGTGCGAACCAAGGTGGGTGCCGTTGCGCAGGTAGGTACCGCCACTTGAGCACTGGAAATGGAATATCAGCACGAAAGCAACACCTATCGAAGGATGAGATGGGGAAACGGATGGGAAGTTCAAACCTGCCACTCCTGTCTGTCGATGCCTTAACGTTGCAGCTCTTCGCTCGATACGTGAATCTCCTCTTCGTATTTTGATGCGACGAATCTTCGAAGATTCCAAGCTTGAACTCCTTATTCGGCTCGATAGGACCACTTTATGTACAGGAACGGGAGGCAGGTGCTCTTCAATGATTGATTTATTGAACGTTTGTTGGTTATATTTAAGTCGTCTTATTGCTAACAGTGTGTATCAGGTAATAATCAAAATTTAAAACAGACAGATCTTATAACCAATTGCACGACGTGTTGTGATTGGTTGCTAACAATGACGAGCTCTGATTCGTAGCTAAAAGTTTGGTGTTCCGGTGCGTCGCTAGGCGGCGTTAGAAGTCGCGCCAACAGTCTACTTAAAGGTTTTTGCCGCTTCTTCTCGTTGAAGCAGTGGTATTTGTCTTTCAAAAAGTGCTTTTTGAAGCCAATTTTGAATAAAACTATTTGACTTGAATTTATTATTATACAAGCATTTATAGAATAAGAGTAACAAACGGGCACCCCCGTCCACTTGATGGTAAATGCATGCTGTGGCCTATAGACATCTCATTCTCGATTAAGAATCAAAATGCAGATTCCTTGCCACCCCTGAGGAATAGGATGGAATGTCTCATTTCCAGTTAAAAGATCCTCCGGTTCTGTACACTCATCATACAAAACATAGCCACATTAATAGGCTATTTTGCGCTGGTGTTTGTGACCATGAGCATGGCCTACCCTGGTTGAGCCGATCGTTTCGTGGAACAACCGTAATACAGCTGCAGTATGGCTCTACCACGTGGCAAGAAGTAATAAGAAAAAGTAAAGTTACGTTCTATAAACATTCCACTGTTCGGTACCGGTTTCCTTTCTTTTCTGAATTAGTTAAAGGGCATTAAGTCCACCGAGCTGTCTTATTGCGTATAGGCAGACTGTACTCTTGAAATATTCTTCTCACGTGCAGATTTCCCAGCGCTTACCTAGTTCTGTTGCCAAATAGCATTGCTTGCACTGTTGTGTTTATTTATTTATTTGTCACACCAACAAGATATACACTACAAGCTTTCTAAGAGTAGACAATAAATAGTTTAATGCTCAGTGATACCTCTTTTATAGGTGTAAACTACATGAATATTGAGCGTCATAATCACATTGCTTTTTGCTTTATAAATACCTAGGTGGATTGAAAAGTACTCGGCCTAACACAGATCCATTCAATTCTAAAAATCAAATCTACCCACATTATTTAGTTCAGTTCAGACTAGTTCATTGTGTGAAGTTCGAAACGTGTGCGATAATTAGTTGTGATTTTATAAATTTATTAACAAAGTAATCGGACATAATTTCCGCGAATGGAGCAAATCGAGCAGCGTGCTGTCATTAAGTACCTCCATAAGAAGGGGCTATCATCAAAAGCCATCCATGATGACATGGTCAGTACATTAGGCGATTGTGCTCTGTCATATTCATCCGTCAAAAAATGGATAGCAGAATTTAAGCGTGGTAGAGAGAGTGTGAAAGATGAACCCCGCTCTGGAAGGCCTTCGACGTCAACTACTGACGAAAATATTAAAAAAGTACTAGATTTAATAATGGGAGACCGCAGATTGAAAATTAGAGAGATAGCCGAGATTATAGGCATCTCTTATGAATGAACTCAAAACATCATTGTCAACGAGTTGGGTTTCCACAAGGTGTCTGCGAGGTGGGTTCCGCGACTGCTTTCAGTTGAACAAAAAAGGACGCGATTGACTATTTCACGCGACTCTTTGGAGTTATTTGAAGCCGATGCAGATGATTTTTTGAATCGTTTTGTGACTATGGACGAAACATGGGTTCATTACTGTACACCGGAAACAAAACAACAATCAAAACAGTGGAGAAGACCTGGTTCACCACCCCCTAAAAAGGCTAAGTCGATTTTGTCGGCAAATAAGGTGATGACTTCAGTATTCTGGGACTCGAAAGGTGTGATTATGATTGAATATCTTGAAAGGGGTCAGACTATAAACTCTGATTACTACTGCACCTTGCTACGTCGTTTACGAGAGGAAATAAAAGAAAAACGTCGAGGAATGCTCAGAAGAAAAGTCCTGTTTCATCAAGATAACGCCCGTGTTCACACGTCAGTACAGTCAATGGCTGAAATTCACAACTGTGGCTTTGAACTGTTACCACATCCGCCGTATTCACCTGATCTGGCACCATCAGACTTCTTTCTGTTCCCTAACCTAAAAAAGCACTTGGGAGGTCAAAGATTTTCGACAAACGACGAGGTCAAAGCAGCTGTAGACGCATATTTTGACTCTAAGGAAGAATCATTTTTTTTCAACGGTCTAAATGCTTGGAAGGGGGAGGTGGCAAAAGTGTATTGAACTTGATGGTGATTATGTAGAAAAATAAAAATATAACTGATATAGTATGTGTTTATTTTCTTGGTTAGGCCGAGTACTTTTCAATCCACCCTCGTAGTTATATTAAAGGGAACATTACAATAAAAGTGTTTAGTTCTAAAGGGATAATCTAATCGTTGGGATTAGAGATTCCATTTAGAAACGTGTTCATATAAATTATTGCATTCTAGTTAGCCCAAAGGTTAGGCACTCGATGTAACATTGTGTGTGTGTGTGTGTATGAGTGTGCGTGTGCGCATGTGTACTTTTGCATGTGCGCGTGCGTGAATGCGCGAGCGCACGCGCACGTGTGCCTCTCTTTCTATTTCTGTGGTCAGTTTCTCTGTCTGTGTCTGTGTTGTGTGTGCGTGTGTGATATAGACAGCCAGTATAAACATAGGTTGAGAGACATTGCATCTTATGCCCCAGCGATATCGCATGAACTGTAACTTCGTTGTTACTTCAGTTTTGTAAAGAAAAAACATATTTCATTTCGTTTCATATTCATGTGTAATTAATGTATGGATTAATAGGTCCATGATCTAACAGAGTATCTTCGGTTTAGTGTTAGATTCGCACGTACACTTCGTCCATCAGCACTTAAAAAAATGCTATCGACCCGGACCGGACCGTTCTCGTGTACTATAAAATTTACAGCGAGCGCTTAGCACATGAGCTGCCACGGCTTTTATGATTAATATGCTTATTAAATCTTTTAATGTAATTACAGGCGCCTCTTGACTCAAAGTTTAAGTTTTTAGTCTCCCTTTCATCTCGTTTCATTCCGGAACATTTTTAGTGAGATTTGCAAATAGGTGCTTACCGCTTACATAATAAAGGTGTCTGCAAATTGTTCATTACACGTACAAAATTAATTATTTATTTAATGTAGCAGCAGTGTATCAGTTGTGAATATCAGTATCAATACCAAAAGTTATTAGTTTCATGATACAAATCAAGTATACAATACAAATGAACACTTTGATCAAATAAGTAAGAAAATAAAACGAAGCTAAGTAAGTTTAAGAGGAAAGATAATTAAAAAATGAAAAAGAAACAAAAAGGATGGGGTATATTACTGATCAATAATTTTTTCTCTATATAATTATGTAGTTTCTTTGATCAAAATTGTATGACAACTTATTTTAAAAAGATTTTTTAATTAAAATTGAGCTTTGAAACAAACCCTGACTTTACATATCATGTAATAGTGATGTATCTAATATTAAACTGCTAACAGACTCATGAATATTCTTTTTATAAATTTATAAGTCACTTCAACCTTCAACATTGTGATTAGGAATCTAATAAGCTATTTCGACAGGATGCACCGCTCGAAGCACTTATCTCGAAAGGGTATAAATTTTCGCCAGTCAAACACGTTTCTATCTTGTACCTTTCTCTTAAAAGGTATGTCTTATCTATACCTACAGATATAATGTAAAATAGTTTAAGAAAACTTCTCTAGCATATGATGAAATCGGCGAATTTTATGTATTAGAGTTTAAATGATATAGATAACTTAAACAACAGATATTGAACATTGGCTGTGATAATCCTAACGAGAATACTGGGTCATAATCATGATGTTATTATATTGTTGCGCGCTGCAATCAATGTCTGGTACATGACGACACTAGTTACCACTAGCGCCTTCTTGTATCGAGTTGCAGAACTGGGGGAGTCTAGATCCCTCTAGAAATTACCATGGAAGAACTTTCTAGAACTATCGACACCTAGTCAGTCCGGGCCGGTATGTATATATATCTGAGGTCCTATATAAGACCGGTATAGACCGCGACCCGGGTGTGTATTGGATTGGCGATACCATTGAATACTTCGAAGCGATACAATTGTGTGGTATTAAGTTGTCATAGTGTTCTGTAATTAATGTAGGTAATAATTTTGGTAATTCACTCGGCAGTTTTTGCTATCTCTAACCCCAAGATCGTAACAGTATTGTCATAGGTACTTAACACTTGCAAAGTTTCAGATAATTCTAACGTCTGAAAGTGGAGAAAACACAGACACATGTAGATTTATTTATGGCTAACGCAAAGAGCCCCCCAGACTCACCTTAACCTACTGTTACTGATATTACAAGTTTGGTGTAAAGTTTTATTAGACGCAACTAGCTTAATCAAATCAAATGTAGTTTTGACTATCATTCTTGATCAAAATCAATTTTAACTGTTATAATGTAATCAAAATTACGATTACCCAATATTTTTGCAACTAAGAGTGGTTTTGTCAAAACTACTTCCTACTCCAAAATTCAGTTAAAAGTGGTATTGGCCAAAGTCCTTAGTAAAAACTACTTGTGCCTAATTTTTGCAGTCATAAGTAGTTTTGACCAGTTATGAGTTTTGAGTGTAACAAATAGATATCCTAATTCCATACGTTTCGTGGCTGGCTTAAATAGTGACATCCGTGAATGGCAAGAGCGTCAAGCGTACGATGCTGCTATCGTAAACCATGTGTCAAAAAATTTACGCCAAATCCTTTCTACAATTGACATTGACAAGGGCTATTTCCAGCAGTGGACTATTCTTCTCTTTTTTTCTTTATCAGGGTGTAAGAATCCACCGTCATTTCGACTTAATCGTCATGCATTTTAGACGTATGGTGATCGCAATGTCAAACGTTTCATATCTTTGATGCGGCTGCCTGTCGCCAGTCCGAGTAGTATTTGACGTCTGGCTACGAGACGTATAACACCGCCAACTATCGTATCAGATGTATAACACCGCCATCTGTCGGAAGCTATAACATTTTTCTGTCATTTTACATACACGCTTTTTACGAAACCCGCAGAGCGAAATACATACGAGGCATAAATACATAGCGTCTCGCATGTAAGCACAGTACAAATCCAAAATCAGCGAGTTACTCGGGCCAGAACTATAAGTTTTGATGTAAAATTGTGAAAGAAGTGATAGCTGGCTCGATCTAGACCATCGCCTACATAATCACAAAATCAATATCCCATTAGTTATCTTATATGACGAGGAAGGAATACAGATTTTTCTATCGGAAGCCAGATTATTCTAGCTGCATCTTATGACATCCGCGGTTGAAAAATATAAATACATATCGTCATGCCTCTAATCCTCACAGAGATAGGCAGAGTCCCTAGACTTTTTGTACTCTGCTTACCCCTTCAGGGATTGTCGAGTAGCTTACTGCTATTTACTAGTTTAATCATAAAATATGGTCAACTCTGCGGTGGCTGAGCAGTCAGCTACTTCACCTGAGGATGCCTCGTATAGAGGCGAAACACATCGTCGGTGGTGCGTCTTACCTAGTGTAGTGGTGGTAGGAGTAGTGGTGCTGGGATTAGTGGTGACGGGATAGTGCACGCAATTGAGAGAGGGCGGGAGGTGCTCTTTGAAAATGGATGGGATACACCATTTTATTTCATTGAGCGGATATAGGCAAGGTAATTTTTACCATCTTTAACAAAAAATATGGATTCAGATATAAAATTGAAAATATATAAATAAGGTAAATATATAAAGTACATACAAATTGAATAATATGATTTAAATTGAACATTTAGAAAACCCCAAAAATCATAAATTTGCTGAACGGATTTTGATAAAACATATCTAAGAACCACCCCTAGAAAACCTGCTTTTCAATCATAAAAATCGCACCCAAATTAGTTCACACGTTTCAGAGCTACGGTGCCACAGACAGACACACATAGTGGTCAAACTTAAACACTCTTCTTTTTCGTGGTGGGTTAAAAATGAACCTTTCAAATTTAAAAGCTATCAACTAAGTGAAACTAGTGTTTTCGGATTTAATCGCAGATATTAATTTATTTTATATTCCTGACGTTTCGAGTACTTTGTAGCAGCCATGGTAACGAGGAGACTGTCCCCTGTCTAGTTTAATTTAAATGTGTAGTGTTTGCGTAAACATAAGACATCACTGTATCAGCTAAGTACCGTCAATGAGACGAGATACACAGAACACTATTTACCGAGACACCCCAATGCAGTTTATGACGTTGGCCTTGAGATTTTTAACTTTGCATTAAAAAAGATAAATTTAAATTTACATCATTTAAAAAAAATTCAAGAGGTAAAACTTTTCGAACTCACAAGACAGATACAACTTTTTACAAATGTAATCATGTATCTCGCCCCCGTTATTCAATTCATATTTCCTATAAATTATATCTGGAATATTGTCTTTGCATCGCACATCTGATTTTAGTAATGTCTTTTTCACGTTTTTATTATTCTTGTAATATTCACGTAAATCATATTTGACGACCGGAGGGTCACATCGGTAGGGAGTTTGGTTAGATGTTGTTCTTAGAATTCCACTTGGTAAAAGTATCCGATATATAATATTATAAATACAAAAATTACATAAATAAATAAGATCCAACCAGATGGGAGCCCTCGGCAGGGGAGACCAGACGGCCGAGGGTTAGGGGGAAAGGTAAAGAAACCGGCGGACGATGCGGGCGGTATCGAGAAGCACCGCCTTCTGCATTTGAGCCCGGAGCGGTCCGTCACGGAGTCCCATTCGCCTCAGATGACCCGAGAGGCTGACTGGGATTATCCCATTCGCAGAGACGACTACAGGAATAATTTCGGTCGACACACCACTCCACATGTCGGTCACCTCGTGAGCCAGGTCTAGATATTTTGTTTGTTTATCTGTTTCGGCTTTCACGAGGTTCTCGTCATAGGGAATGGTAATGTCGATCAAAAATATCCTTGACTGTGCCCGGTCCATCAGCACAATATCAGGCTTATTCGCAAGAATAGTCCTGTATGTGATGATGGCCCGGTCCCAGTAGAGCCTGGCGCGGTCATTTTCGAGCACGGCTTCCGGCAAGTACTTGTAATATGGCAATTTCCGGTCCACGAGACCGTATTTCAGAGCGAGCTCCTGGTGTAGAATTCCTTCTACTAGGTTGTGCCTGTGCAAGTACTCAGAGTTAGAAAGCGCCGAACAACCGGAGATGACATGCCTAAGTGACTCCCCGGGATGGCGACAAGCTCAACAGACGTCGACAGTGCCATCCTTTAGGATGTATCTCCGATAGTTGTTGGTCTTAATAACCTGATCCTGTATTGCACAGACAAAACCCTCGGTTTCCCCCGAAGAGGTCACCGAAACGTAGCCAGTTGAGGGAGGCGGCTGTATCTACGTGAGGCTCATGTAGAGCCCTGTAGTACCTCCCATGGAGCTCCTTCTCCTTCCATACGGAAATGCTCTGTACTGCGGGGTCTTGCCATTGCTCGTTGGCTAAGGATAGAGGGGTAAGTCCTTTATCACTAGAAATGACGTCATTATAGAATGGATCATCCGATCTCGCCAGGAAGTAATGACGGAGGCTGCACACTTCGCGATTATGCATGGTGAGCGCGCTCAGGAAGCCACGCCCACCATGCTTTCGCGGCAAGTACAGCCTCATTACCGACGATCTTGGATGATGCATCCTATGGGACGTCATTGTAGTGCGGACTTTTCTATCCAGGGCGTTAAGTTCAGTCTGACTCCACCTGAGTATGCCAACGGTATACATGAGGACAGGCATGACCCAACCGTTATATGCATGTGTCTTATTCACACCGGACAAAAGGCTGTTAAGCACTTTGGTCAAGCGTACATAAAACACGTCGCAAACTGACTCTTTCATACCAGCCTCATCGATACCGATGTTCTGTGACATACCCAGGTATCGGTATGTTTCAGCCTCGGAAAGGGCCCTTAAG